TGTTGTGGTGTGTGTAGGAGGGTCTACGAGGGGCTCTGCTGGTTGTAAAGTCTGACCGCTGCACGTATCTCTCCGTGTGACGGATGGGGTGCAGCAGCCTGTCGCTGGAGGTGCTGCACAGTGAGGACAGGGTGAGTGGCCTGTGTTCGTCGTCCATAACATACGCCTGCCCATACCATAACCCCACCACAACCATGGGCCACTCGATTCACAACATTACCCTAACCCTAACCCTAACCCTAACCCTCACACCAGATACTGACTGGTTTTCGGACCCCCCCAGACCCCCCTAATAAAGCAAAAATGCACGTTTCAGAGTGGCCTTTTATTGTGGCCTGGATTAACAACGTGTCACGTGTTCTGAATTGACCAATCAGAATCGAGTATTCAACTAAGCCATGTAATAATTATTTTTATAAAAACGTCTCTGTCTTTACAGGGAGGAACTTGGTCAGGTTTGGGTAAAATTAAAAATATAGACGTTTCATAGAAGTTGTACTAAAGTTACGTGAAACATACTATATCGATGGTTTCACAGGGTTGTATGACCGGCGGTATTCTGAGGGAAATTCTTATTGTTAAAGGACCCATCCATCCAACTACCTGGTTTCTGCCCTTTCTTGTAAAAACAAACTTCATGTAATTTTATAATATTTGTTTCTGACCTTCTGAAGCTTCCCAGTGCAATATAAAGTAGGCCTGATGAACCTACTTATGCATCGAGTAAATCCTATAATATATACGATATACATCTGGGCCCTTTTGTATTTGGTACTTTTGGGGTTTCTTTGTGTAACTGATCCTTCCTACACTTTGGCATTGTAAAATATATTTGAGAACTTTCTCCAACACTGTCAATATGTGGACAAAAAATCGATATATCATATTTTCTTTGCAGTTCGAAGTGGACGAGAAGACCTATTTCAAGAACATCCTCAGAAGCATCAAGTTCAACATCAAGCTGTCAGTGCAGAAGATCCGTGAAGAAGTGGACAAGACGGCGTGAGTGTGAAACCTCCTTAAATCATACATGATGACCATCGCTTGGTGACACTCTGTGCAAAGCAATAACAAGTAGGTTAATATTGTGTTTGAAATCATGCAGCTGAGGCTCAAACTGCGCGCTGTGGTCTGTCTCTAGTGTGTTTTGACATGCATAACATGTGTCCCTTTTAATCCCTTTTTAGTTTGACATATTTGTTGATGCGCCTTTAAATCAAACCAACAGATACTAAATCGACGCACACAGCTGGAGAAAATCCATTTGATTTACTTATCTGCAGCAGCCAGGCAGCAGGAAAGTGCTGTGGGACATGTGGTTGATTTTTCTAAAACACAGCCCTGTACTCCTGGATGGAGTGCCTCTCTGCTGTGACACATCAGAGTCTCATTAGTATTCAAAGGTGCCCAACACTACTGTATCATTAGCCCACACTAAACGCCCCGAAGACTTAAATCACATTTCCCCCCCTTTATCAACAAAAAGTCAACCTTTCATCACTCACACTATCTTGTGTAGTGAATTTAAAATACAGAAAGCCTTCTCCTCCTCCCGGTGTTTGGCTCGTAGAAATGGATTCAGAGTAGAATGGAACTGTTTTCTGTGGTCATTTGACAATAAGAAAGGGTGTTTTCGTGGTAGAAACACACATCTGTTGGGCTGCAAAGTGTATACACAGCTCTAGATGGCTAGCTGCGTAGCTTCTCCTTCAAGACCAAGTGCTTCTGCTAGTCATCACCCTTTGTTTTGCTCATTTCTACAACTAACATAGCCCTAATGCATGGCGAATTAGCTAGATATCCATCCAGCTTCTGCTATAGACAGCTATAAATCCACCATTAGGGATGTCCCGACCACCTTTTTTTGCTCCCGATCCGATTCCGATCATTTGATTTTGACAATTTGCCGATACCGATTTTTCCCGATCCGATCTTTATGCAATGCATTAAGAGAAAAAAAAGCATTCAAGTTGTCCCTTAAGGTTATTTTTTTATTTAAATTTGATATTCTATCCAACATGGATATAGCTTCTTTCTTTCACAGCAGCATTGGATCAGTTCAGTTGTGCAGCATTGGATCAAAACAAAATAAAGCTTTCAGTACTCGTTAGCTTACTGCTACAATTAGACACTGCGCCCACTCTGTTGCCAGTTTGGAGAGAAATAAGCAGGTCTATGAAAACAAGCCCCAAAGAAGCAACACATACATGATGTTCTGTAATTTGAAACCAAAACTAAGGCCTCAGGATGACTTTAAGACTTGAACATGGTCATTTTTGTTTTGTAACATTGAATACAAAATACAAAAAAAAGTATTTAAAAAAAAAAAATTTAAAAAAATAATCCCGATCCCCGATTTTTTTTCTCCCGATTCCGATCTTTTGAAAATCACGTGATCGGCTCCGATCCCCGATCACGTGATCGGCTTCGATCCCCGATCACGTGATCGGATCGGGACATCTCTATCCACCATACTTTAAAACTAATGTCTGAACTAGCCCGATGTCAGCTAAATAATTGTACAATGCTTAAAGGTTCGTTGTCTGTAAGCATTGAAGCATGGTGGTATTAGCTAGTTATCTAGCATAGTATTCATCTTCCTATTATACACTCATTCATTTCCAAACATTTGGTCTACCTACGCTGTAAATGTATTATCTCTTCGATTTACACACGGCATCTATTGCACGTCTGTCCGTCCTGGGAGAGGGATCCCTCCTCTGTTGCTCTCCCTGAGGTTTCTCCCATGTTCCCCTTTAAACTGTGGGGGTTTCTCTGGAAGTGTCTCCTTGTACAATCTGAGGGTCTAAGGACAGAGGGTCTAAGGGCAGAGGGTCTAAGGGCAGAGGGTCTAAGGACAGAGGGTCTAAGGACAGAGGGTGTCGTATTGTCATACTGATATTCTGTACACACTGTGAAGACCACTGAGACAAATGTAACATTTGTGATATTGGGCTATATAAATAAACATTGATTGAAAACATTGATTGNAGTCGTACTGAGTTAGGTAATGTCCCTCTCTGAGGACTTTTTAAGCTCTCCCAGACTTAGGGTGCCTACGTTTGTAGGCCTAGTCGTAATAATACTTTCGTGAATTGTCTCTTAGTGAATAAATTAGGAGTTTCCTAAATTTAAGACTGGATCACGAGCCCATTATGCCTTAGGAGTTTCTCCTAATTCGGGCCAGTTAGGAGCTACTTTGTTAGCCCTAAAATCCTTTGTGGAATACGAACCCCAGGTCTATGAAACAAGCCCCCCAAAAAGCAAGCACGATACATGATGTTCTGTAATTTGAAAACAGAACTAAGGCCCTCAGGGATGACTTTAAGACTTGACATGCGTCATTTTTGTTTTGCACAATGAATACAAAATTTAAAAAAAATATTTAAAAATAATGTAATTTTAAAAAATATCCCGATTCCCCGATTTTTTTCTCCCGATTCCGATCTTTGAAATCTCGGTGATCTCTGGACCTGCCGCAATCCGCACACGCTGATCGCGATCGGGACATCTCTAGTTGGCTGGGTTCTTTAAAACCACTGTTGTGTAGGCATGTTCCCCTAAAGGCAGTGGTCACCAACCTTTTTAAGCCCAAGATCACAGGACCTCGGGTCTAGGTGAAAGGCGAGATCGTACCTATTGCAGATAGTGAAGAATGACGGCCCAGACATGCCTTCCAATTTGCAGGCCTTGGGGTTATATGAGGCTAATCGCATCTGATACTGTTAAAAATGGAAGGCTCCATATCAGCTCACGGCATATAGGCACGGGGTAACAGGTTGCCATTGGGGGGCGCGGATCTCACCTCCTCTAGGGGGGTCCTCAACTCCTCTAGGGGGCGTCCGGGGGGGCGATGCTCCCTCCGGGGAAGATTTTTTTTAAATATTGAAGTTGAAGCATCATCTGGGTGCACTTTGGAGCAAAAATGAAGAGCTTGCTATGCGATACCTCTCTCAGCACCCATATGGAGACAGAACTGAAAACAATTTTATTTTTCTTTATGGATTATTTTACAATCACTTCCCCTTTGAAGGGACTGCGTGTTCTTGTTTTACTAGACATACTGCTATAGTAGGCTATTTCATACCTGCTTTTTCATTCTATTTCTCTATTGCTATTGTATAACTATAAATGATCATATGAAGGTTGCCGCCCGGCAACAATAATCTTTTTTGATATAATTTGGTGACAAAAACCGCCTTCTAAACACTCAGAGAGTCATTTAGCAGTCACCTGAGGCCCCTCAGTCTGACAGGAGAGCACTTCTCCTCCAGGCTTGTTGTGAAACAGCTCCTTGTATGTTCCGTTTAGTTAGTTTAGTGCCAGCTAGCAACCAGATGCTAAGCCATCACGCTCCCGCCTAGCACCGCGTCCCTCTCTCTCCGTCCCTCTCATCCCTCTCTCGTATCCACACTAAATGCGCTATTGCCCACCAATACAGAGCCGAGGCGTTGCAATGACACAGCCACACGTGCTATTTCCATGCCAACTCTCTGCATTGGTGTGCGTGTCGTCTGCCTCTGTTGCGTTCAGTGAACACGGGAAATTACAGTTCCTGCCGTGTCTCTTGTGTCATGCAGGAGGTTCACGCTAAAGCACGGTTAATGTATTATATTTATTTGAGCGTGTCTCGAAATATACGTCAATCAAGTGGCACGCTGCCTAACGGTGCGTTTGCGATGATAGCGCTTACATCTAAAAACGTATTTTTCGAAAGCATAATTATTTATTTAATTTTTCTTGTCTTTTGTTACTTTTTTTTTTAACGGTCCGCGATCTACCCGCACCACACTCGCGATCGACTGGTCGATCGCGATCGACTGGTTGGCGACCACTGCAAAGGCATTCATTCATATGTCACTCACTTTTCCACAATGTTATGCCATGTAGAGTACACAGTAATTCCTCCACATTTTTCACAGTATTAGAGCAGTTTCTTGTGTTTGTATTTGCTATGCCTTGACTTAATAGTCAAGTCAATCTCGACTCCTCAGATGAAATGTGGCCTCGGGTGTTAACGAATCATCTTATTATCCCTTACACCCTTAGCCTTCTCTCAGTCTCCTTGGTCCACCTGGACCCTTGTATTGCGAGGGCTCGCACTGTGTCTGTGATCGTTTGTCTTGGGATAAAGTGTGCTCTAGAAGGTCTTGCAGCAAAGAGGTAGGCAAATCATTAAAAAAAACTCCTATCCCATTCCTTCCAAAATCTATATGTAAACTATAACTGTAACTATTTTTTTTCCTATTTATGGTTTAATTATTAGCATTTTTAATTTTGAAATGTTCTATAAAAATATTTCCAAGAGTGGCTTTAGTTAGAATGGCAGATTCTAACCAAAGCATGTGACTAAGAAACAATCTAACAATGTAAAAAAAAAAAATCCTGAAACTTACTTTGGTACCTAGTACTGTATGTATGACTGCAACCACATACACTGTCTTTGATTCTGCATGCAAGAACCAGACCAAGGTTGAAACCATACAACATTAACAGTCAAAAGCAGTTTGAACATACAAATATAAATATTGGTTTTCCTTCTTATATATTTTGAAAATCAGACCGGTGTCACAAATAGTAATCTTTCACATTAATTTATTCAGAAATACATTCTGTTATTTAATAATTCTCCCAGCTTTAAATCAGCTGCTTAAGGATCAGAGTCTCTGTTTGGTTTTAACAAGCTCAGCCTTACTGTGTAGCACATGGTATTGTGTCCCATGTGACTGTTGAGATTGACAGTTTTCTATGCTCACGGCAAATAAATACTCCCATTTGAGATTATAAATGCAAAGTGAGAGGAAAGCCTCTAATTGTACTGCACCTGCCTGTATAGAAACGCTGCAGGAGATGGAGTCTGCTGGCCAAAGCTGGGAAATCAAGCTCCTCCTCAATAACGTCCCTTCAATGTTTTTCTTTTGCAGACAAGTTCAGGTGGCGATGGGAACAACAGTGACGGCAACTCTTTCTCCATCGACATGTTGGACATTATTCTCCACGAGGACTCCGGCTCAGCCGACTCGGGCTCCATGGGCTCCGGATCGAACGGCTGCGGTACTTCAGCCAGTGGGACCTCCAATAGCAGGACGTCAAACAGTAGGACATCAAACAGCGGGATATCAAAGAGCAGGACGTCTGGCAGTGGAAAAGGTATGACCTTAAGCTCCACCTTACAGATATTGATGAAAACAACAGTACACATTCCCAAAAGATAAATAAGCAGGAAAAAGTAGAAAACACTACAGTGAAACAGAATCAGCAACGTTTTAATAGTTTCCTCTTTTGGTTTTTTCAGGAAGCAACAACAGTAGCAACTACTTTGGCAGCGTGGACTCGTCCCAGATCAGCCAGAAGGTCAAAGGTCACCTGAATGGCAGCGAAAGCAGGGCTTTGGAGATGGACCAGAGTGAACATTTCATCACGTAAGTACTGCTGGAAATGCTGTGTTTCATCGTTTGTTAATGAAGGGTAACGCTAAGCATGTATACAGACAAACTCTCCTCTTTTGCTCATTGATAGACAAGTTTCCTGTTTATGGGCAATAGAGGATGTGTTTGTGAGACAATAAAACAAAACAATCTTGATTTAGCTTCCTATCCTCACAAGTTCTGGCAAAGATATTTCTGTGCTCTGGTTGTCACAGGACAAAGAGCTTATTGGGGGTTTGTTTTTCACACTAAACATCCGTCATTTTTATTTCTCAATATGCAAATATGCACCTTTTAACTCAATAGGTCACAAGACCATTGAATACTCCTGCATACTATTTGTTTCTTGACTAAAAAGATCAAACTGCAGTGGTTGTTGCAGGGACAGTTACTGACCACTAGAGGGCCCCCTTGACAGAGGGCTTTGCATCGACTAAGACTGTTAACTCCTTTGTACATGTCTATAAAAGGCTTTAGTGACAAATACTTTGATAGTTTGCAAAAAACTAGACGTTCTTGTTTTACTGTTGGGTAGATTTTTAAATGTGTCTGTTTCTGTATTCCTCTTTATCTGCAGTGACATCCAGAGAGTACTCAGAGACGACAGAGAGAAGCTGAGACTGCTGCAGAAGAGCCAGCCGAGCTTTTCAGAGGAGCAGAAGAAGGAGCTGATGGAGGTGCACCCCTGGATTAAGAGAGGAGGTCTGCCAAAGGAGATGGACATCAAGGTAGAATTCATTTTATATAGTCCGGCTCTAAATGTGGAAAATATGGGGTTTTGGCAAGATGTTGGTTAACCTACCTTTTTTATATTTATGATTCTTGACAGTGACAAAACTTGACAATAAAAAATTGCCAACTCTTTGATAATCAGTTATTTTTCATGCAAGAAATTAGTTCCTGCTTTTCTTTCTAGTCTTCTTTTAATGAATATCGTTGGGTTTTGGAATGACAACACAAGACATTTAAAGACGTCACTTGGTGAAACTGGGACACACAGAGTCCCGGTTATTTTTACACTTTACAAACCAAACAAATAAATAATGAAAAATATAAATAGTTTGTATATTTGTTTTGGTTGGAGATGTTTCTTGGAAAAACATCAAAATTGTACCCCACCACTTTCTCATTGTTTCTCAGATGTGCACTTTTTTCTACATCACCTCTCACCTTCTCCTTTTATCTGTGCTGCCCAGGCGTGCTCTTGCTGTAATGGTGCCTCGGAGGCAGCAGCAGTGTCAGCAGCGGTGGAGGAGGAACAGGCAAACCTTGACCTCGGTGAAACGGAGGCGCTGGAGGAGGGCTGCCAGCGGAGGCCCAGAGAGGAACCCTCCAACTCTCTCTCAGAGACAACCAGCTAGACAACAAACTCATCAAGATCTTCAAAGTGTCCCCTATTACCCGTCTGACTCTGTTTCTGCACAACTGTGAAAAGTGGCCTTCTTTGCGTGAAGCATCAAACAGGCCCTTTGCTCTTCTCACAACATTCATTACTGTCTTAAGTTAAAGCTTGTGTTGAATGTAAATATACGAGTGCTGGATTCTGTGACTGCGTATGATCATTCACTCATTCCGTTTAGCGCTTAATATAGTGCAGCCTCTGCACTGATAGGTCATAAGTGAAACACAATGTGTGCTTATGCAGCACAGTAGAGGTCAAACAAACACCGACAGACCAGAGGCTGCGTCACTCACATGGCAGGAAGTGGCTCTTTGGTGTTCAAACTGCTGCGGTAAAAGAGTTGATTCAGCTTTTTGTGATGTGATTTTCTCAGTTACAACAACAGCACGCTGAGTCAGCATGTGGTAAAAACAGGCGGAGTTCAATTTCAGGCACTCCTGTTCAGGCATGCATAGCCATCAAGCACTAAATGAACGCACAACTGCACTTTGTGAGCTACACATGGAGGCAAAGATGAAAGGTGTTGTGTTTAGTCACTAATAGCAAATGAATGTCCAAAATATAAACTTGTTCCCGAATGCAGCAGGCATGGACTCACCATCTGAAGCTTTTCAACAACTCCATCCCCTGAAAACGTACTCCCATACAAGGCAATACTAAATGTACAATATTATATATTGAACTTAAGTGATGTAATACTATAACGAATCATAACATGGAAACGTTAATGTGTTACTGACCGCCAGTGAATTGTAGGGGGAATGGGTGAAAAACCTAGAATAAAGCTATATTTATTCACCAGTCCATGTTATAATGTTTATGAGAATGTATCATTCAAAGGGAGCTTTGTGTCACTTGTAACCTTATGAAGCTTTAAGCTTTCATTGTTTATACGTATTTTCATTCAGCCTTTTTGTCAGTATCAGCTTTGAAAAGTGCCTCTTATTTAAATAAACTTTAATTTTAATGCATTTCAAAGCTTGTGTGTGTGCAACAGTCTTTGACTCTGAGCATATATATATATATATATAATTTTTTTTCACAGGTCAATTGTTTATATTTGAAACAAATGTGTATTTTGCATTCATCTTAAAAGAACCATTAATATTAAGTATACATTTGTTTCAAATGTGAGTTGTGAAATAACCATTCGGATAAAGCCAACCGTGGACTGGAAAATACAGGTATGTTGTTGATGGTGGGTGATAGATATAAATTGGGAAAATAATAATTTTCCCCAGTTTTCAAAGTGTGTCAGATCACACTTATAATGGTCTGATGTTACTCCTCATACATATGGAAAAGAGCCTCCTGAGCATCCTGTGGAAGTGTCTGAAGCTCATTACTGTTTTGTGTAGTCACCTCAGAAGTGGAAGTTTAGGGTTATTGCACGGGTATAAAGCAACTCACACAGATGTCAAGTGAATGTGGAGAGCTTTCCTTCACTTTGAAGCTCTTTATGGCAAATTGAACATGTTCCTGAATTTGTCATTTGTCTTTCTGTTATTTGAACAAACACTGACAACAATGCACCTTTTTATTTCCCCCTTTTTTAAGTGGCGAATGTTCTGTTATATTTGTTCTCTAAATAAAACCTTGCCAAATTGACTGTGATGCCTAATGTGTTAAAATGTCTGCTTCTTTCTTGCCTAAAGGTTATTACAGACGTGTCATTGACGAGCAGCACATATTAGCTTAAATAAGACAAATACGAAACTCATTTAGGAATGGTTGTTCTCTAGGGTGTTAATGGGTCACCAATTGACGAGTATAAACGACTAAGAAAACGATTGGCTGTTTGCAGCAGAGCAATGCTTTACAAATAAAGACTGATTTAGAAATTACTGGATGAAAATAAACCTTAATATGTTGAAAAAGGGACCATTATAGCAACTAGGGCAGTACGTTTTTACATTATAACTATGTTTAAAACAAAACGTAAGCTGGTGTTGTTCTCCATCCTGAAGTCGTGACATTCACCTTCCCAATGCAAATGTCTGTGTCGGTCGACACTCAGACAAAAGCCTGGATGTGCTCTCTGCAGACAGTTCACGGCTCAGCAGGCCGGATCAAAGGAGGACCCCCCCCCCAACTGTTCACACCTGAACTGAATTAACAAACTGCCCTCCTGCAGCGGTCATTTGCACCTCTGGAGATCCGCAAATCCGGTTTGGTCCCGATGGAACCAAGCTCGTCATCCTGTCCGCTTGTGACAAATCTGCAGAATTTTCAGATGTTGTTTAAGAAGTAATAATATCCCATTAATATACGTTTAGATTATAATTTATTCACGATACAAAAGTCTTGATTGCCAAAGTAACTTTTAACTAGTTTAACAAATAAATGCAGTATAACCTCTGAAATATGTTGAAGTAAAATTGCAAAGTAGGCTACTCTTTTACAAGAGTGATCTAGTTTTTGATTAAATAGTGAAATTCTACCAGTGATGTGAAGTTACTAAGTAGTTTTTACTCAAGTACAATTTTTAGATACTGGTACTTTTTTTGATTATTTCCATGCTATGCTATACTTTGTAGGCTACTTCTAGGCCTACCCCACTACAATTCAGAGGTAAATTATGTACTTGTACTGTACTACATGTATTTAATACCATAGTTACTTTACAGATTTGGATTAATGATGTTAAATATAATCAACACTTAAATAAGACTTTAGTTAAACCTGGAGTAAATTCACAAGCTACCCTGCAGTATACAAAGTCATTCAAACTAGCTGCACCTTTACCAGCTTTGATAACACTTTAATGCATCAAAACATATATTATTGTGAAATGGACCAATCTGCAGAATGAGTTTTACTGTTGGTAAAGTATTATGTTGATGCCAATACTTGTGTACTTTTACTTGAGTAACATTATGAATCAAGGACTTTTACTTGTAATGTATTCCTACACTCTGGTATTTCTACGTTTACTATAAAATCTGAGTAATTCTCCCACCTCTGCATTCTGCCACTGCTCATGTATTGCAGCTGGTCATGGTAGAGCTTATTCAACCTAATTTATACTTTTGCAATGTAATGTATTGCAACTTTTTTTTTTTTTTTTTTTTTAACAATCTGCAAAGTAACTGATAAGTGTGTCAGGTAAATGTACTGGCGATACAGCACTTGAGTATTCACTTTACAATACTGGATATATGTAATGCTAAGTAGGAAAAATGCTCTACTTTAATCCCTCAACACTCTCTGTATTAATCTGTTTCTTGTCATTTCACCAAAGGTCCCTCTCAGTTTGGGTCAGGAAGTGTAAGAACTGACACTTGGACATCACAGGAACACCATCTGACAAGAAATGGATTAAGACTTCCAGCCTATTCGTATTCATTTGTAGTAGCAGCTGACAGAGCGGAGGCAGAACAGTGTCTGTGACTCTCAGGAACACAGGTCACTTCTGAGGGTGCAGACACAAGTGTGTGTGAATAGGCAAAGGGCTCTTAGTACGGAGTGGCATGGAAAGTATTAACATGTATATATCAGTTATTGTATCTTTACAAGTCATATACTGATTTATTTTGCAGTGGATCACAGTTGTATTCCCTTTATGAAAGCACCATATATAGTGCATGCATGTTTACTGGGAAGCTGATGACATGAGTGGTCTTTAAAGTACAGACTATTTCCATGATTGAGCAAGTTATTTGTTACCATGTTATTTTAAAACTGCAACATCAAAAAAGCTGAAGTCAGAGAAGTTATAAAACCCATTTGTCAACTCCTCAACTAGGCCTATATAAGGAGTGAGATGATTACTAATTTCACACCTCACAAATGCCTACGATGTGCAGAGGGATCAGAGAGAGAACAGGAAAGAGAGAAAGAGGAGTGCACAAGCACACATGGCCCACAATTGCAGAGTAATAACCAATATCTTGCAAACAGCCGTGGGTGGGTGGATTGTGGGATCCTCGAGTGTAAAACGTGGCATTTTTCTAGAAGAAGAAACACAAAAGATGAAGTTGTCAAAAAGATATTTATTGAAAAGTTGAAACTTAGGCAATCAGATGAGGTAGCCTACTAAAAGTCATTGGACATTTATAAATACAAAGTTAAAAAGACACGCTAAATACAAAATAATTTACACACAACTAACAAAGCATTTTTAGTGGGAAAGCTATCTTCTATACAGCCAATTCATATTCAACATGTAAATATTTACATACACATTTACCCCTTCACTGAAGGCAGGCCCAACAAGGCCAATACACTTCCAAATGAAGACCCTACAAGTCTCTGACCTCAGACTTAATTACATACTTTATTCATTAAATACAATTTAGTTTAATTGTAATCCCGCAATAATGAAGAAGAGCTTCTTAGATGCCTCTCAACAAGTTTCAAAGTTGTCATCTCAGCAGGGTTTTACTGAGTGCTACCACACAAAACATTCTAACAAAAAAAAACATCTAGTGTTGCAGAACATGCCATTCCTTTTTTACTGATCTACCATGGCCTCCACATTGACTTGGAGTAACAAATGACAGGCAAGCTCAACACATCCTGGCTGTCAGCCTCCTCCTCTGAAGAAACATGACTCTGCTCCGAGTCTGTGGTCTCATCCAGGTCGGAGCAGAGGTCATCAGAGGAGGTGGTCGAGGGGGCCGGGGACACCAGGGCCGAGTACATGCTCTCAGACAGGGACCAAGTGCTGCTGTTAATGCCGGGACTCTCTGACATCGTGTCCGGCATCATCACGCGGAGGCGGTCCTCGTCGTTAAGGGGCATGCTCTCCAGGAGGTGGTTCAACAGCTCTGCGGCAACTGTTGGATCAATCCCTGGGCAGCTGGACACAAAAGTGTGCACGTCGTGCATACACTGGATGTAGCCTGCGGCGAACCGCTCACAAGCCTCCCGGTTCACGGCGTCCACTTCTACGGAAAGATGAGACACAACAACCGTGAGCCAGGAAGTTAGCAAAACAAACAGGCAACAAACAAAACTCTCTGTTGTGATTGGCTGAGCAGCTGTTGAAGATGCGCACCTGTGGCCGCATCACAGTTAATCAAAAATATGAATGCGCTAAACGTTATAAATTAATTTGTGGATCCGATTTGCAATAATTAGTTTGTTCTCCAAGGGTAGGACGTGACTGCAATATGCTAATTTAACGTAATACTTTTTTGTTAAGTAATATATATCACACACTGTTGCTTAATGGCGTACTTTACTCCTAAATGGGCCTACACGTAAATTGAACAATGTTTACCTTGGGCCTGGTTTTGGAGGACGCTTTCCACCCGTTTCACTGTCATCTCCAGCACTTCGGCATTCTCCATCTTTGATTGTAACTGCAACGGGTGACACAAAACAAAACGTAAGTTACAAGCGCTGGCTACCCAAGCTAGCTAAACCAAGTCACACTTGTATGACGAAAAACACTAGCGTCACACAAATAACAGGCCTGAAAATATATGCATAGTTTCTTACGTCTGAATCCGCCATGAGGACTCTGAGTTCTTGTAAACTTTCATTGATGCGAGCCCTCCTTTTCTTCTCCACCAGAGGTTTCCTCATCTGCCAAAAACAGTACAGACAATGAAGTTAACGTACTTTGTCAGTTACCAGACAAGTTAAGACAGATATTGTTATCAAATCTTCACTCCGGCTCTTACCTTTCTTTCAGATTTGATTCCAGTGCAGTTATCACCTCGGTCCGTATCGTTTGTGTTGTTACGGTTGGGGGCCATGTTGTTAAAGTTTAACCCAGGCGCTGCCAGAAACCCTCTGGAGGTCGGTGAGTAATCCAGAGAGCCGTTACAGCTCGTTAACGGGACAGATGGCCGGGCGATCCCAGCAGCCAACAAAGCTTGCAGAGGGACTGGGCTCCTAAATGCTGCTCCGTGGGGGCTTGTGCTTGGTATATATGACTGCTCATTTACATATGAATGGGGGAACTGGCTAGGAGAGCAAGACACATCGAGAGCGCGCAATGCTCATGTCCGCCAATCACCAGT